GTTACAGTGTCAAGATAAATATAAATTGTGTTTTGAATTTACATCATTATACAAAGTCCACAAAACATATTTATATGTACAGTCATTGCGGATGAAGAATATCTTCCTATATACACACTCCTGAAACTCTTTTTCATAAAACATCTAAAAAACAGATGTGCCTTTTAGCCTAAACATCCCCTGTCTAAGCACTGCCTACGCTGACAACTGTTAGCGGATAATATATGTAGACTGTCCGCAAACAGTGCTTCCGAATGGGGCCAAAAACCACCCTACTTTCTTCACGTACGCCCGAGCTCGTAATCTCAAGAACATTCGTAGTGCCCACATTTAATTAATGTCTTCAACTGTACCTTTGAGTGAGATCGCCTTATGGAGCATATTGTATATTTTTAATTTGCTTAAAGAGAAGGAGAAAACTATTAAACGATTATGAAGACCTAGGTTTTTAACAGAAGGTTGCCAGTAGACTGAATTTTTATGCATTTATAGGAAATTCGAAAGTATAAAATTGCACAGAATGCACATAATATGAAAAAATATGTGAAGTATATAAAGCGTAATGTTTCTCATAATACTTGGTAAGTAAAGCAATTTTTTGCTGAATCGATATTTTTTTAATTATATTCTCAAAACTATAAGCTTGTATAGGAAGCCGCAATCTAGCTATGAGTATAGAAAAAAATCGTTTTGCAGACGTAAGTCTAGAAAACGCTCCTGGAATTACACTCCTCGTCAAAGAGATAGCCTAGATGTGCTATCTTTAATTTCTCAATGACGCGTGCAAAGTTTTTCGTCTGTAACGTATAATATCAAAACATTAGGAGCTCAGAATATGCGGTTCGTTGAAAATAATTAAAAATGTGATGAGGTTTAGTGTGTAACAAAAAAAATTGTTTTATTTTAAGTACGAAATAAAAGCACACTCTGTTAATATGTTTAGATATTACTCAGTAGCTCATGATCTATCAACGAGTAAAATTAAACGAGTCTGAAAAAAAGGGAATTCTTGAACTAAAATAGCAACAGTTATCAGTAGCAAAAATATCGAAAGTAATAGGATAAAGTCGTAAAGCAATACACAAAATGTTGAAGATTATGGTAAAAAGAAAAGTACTAGTCGGCCGTCATCGTTATTCGATCGTAATAAGCGAGCAATTTTACGTGTAGCTTCCAACTCGCAGTTAACAATGAAGCAAATAATGGAAAAATCTAGTGTTAGCGCCAGTGTTTCAAGTATTCGTCGAGTTCTACTATCCTACAAAGATATTAAGAGGCTAAAATTGAAAAAGAAACCTCGTTAACAGCGAAACACAAAGCAGAACGTTTACGCTTTGCAAAAGAAAGAATGCATTGGAAGAAGAAATGAAGAAGGGTACTATTTTCAGACGAAAAATATTCAGCTTGGATCGTCCTGATGGGTTCCAATATTGTTTTTATGACACAAGAAAAGAGACAATGTCAGAAATTCGATGACAAATAGGAGGAGGCAACGCGATGGTTTGGGCCGGTGTCACAAATGAAATCCGACTAAACAAAGCGATAAGATAGCGAAAATCCAAGCGCCTTAGCATGAGTGACCATCGGGATAACATCCGGTCATTCTATCCGTTCTCAGAAGTATATGATAAATACGATCGAAGCCTTTTCTCACTTCCACGAATAAAAGAAATTAAATACTGTAATATCGTAAGGTAGTTTGAACTAGAGATAGGTTGTACTTTTGTAATATCGTAAAGTAGTTTGAACTAGAGATAGGTTGAAAACCGTGTACGTCGTCTTTCTGTGGTTCGTTTACATTTAAGAGTGCCTACGTGACTAAAGTTACGTAGTTGGTAATTCTTACATAAATATGAGGAAAACAATAGACAACGTTAGACGAGAAGGACGGTTCCGCTTTTCAAGGCGGGACGATGACCGTAATAAAACCTGTCTGGACCTACGGAATCCAACTATGGGGAACAGCAAGAAACTTCAACATTGAAATACTCCAAAGCTTCCAATCGAAAACGCTAAGATCCCTAAGTAATGCACCTTGGTATGTAACCAATGAAATAATACACCGCGACCTCAAGATACCCACAGTCAAAGAGGAAATAGCAAAATATAGCGACAGATATAATAAAAGAGTCAACAAACACCGAAACCCCCTAGTCACTGGGCTACTTGATAAGACGGACCAGATTCGCAGGCTGAAGAGGCACTACCCGCTAGACCTAAACGCTAGATTCAATTAGTTATCTAAATTAAGTAATATTCACTTATTTATAACTTACTTATAAATTATACTTATCTATAATGAGTATTAACTTATTATAAATAATCAGTCATGTCACTGCGCCACGCCAGAAAAATTACTGAAAATTCTCAACGCGAGAATTGATTGTAATTTCAATAAATAAATAAATAAATAAAAAAAGAAAAGGCGGGACGACCGAAAGATCAGAGTGTGTGAGTCGAAAAGTGTGCGTGTTGCGAGAGTCAGAGCTAATCGAGTCGTCGAAGAGTAGAGTCGTTAGAGTTAATCAAGACACCGAAGAGTAGAGTCGAGAGAATTGATAGAGTTGTTAGAGAGAGAGAGAGAGAGTTTCGTTGTCACGAGAGTGGCCAAATAACTGTAAAGTTATTTGATATAAATAGTGTCCGATACATAAATTTAATCAAAGAACAAATAAATAATCATGCAGAACGCATTTCTGGACCTGATTACACCTTTCAACAAGATAATGCACCTGTACACACATCAAGATTGGTCCAATCATACTTTAATGAAAATAATATATCTATTTTGCCGTGGCCTGCACGCTCCCCGGAACTTAATATTATTGAAAATTGCTGGGCAGAACTTGTTCACGGGGTATACGCGAATGGAAGGCAGTATCAACACGTACAAGAATTAAAAAATGCAATTGTACACAAATGGGATACGTGAAGTCAAAATTACATCCAGAAACTATATAAATCGATAGCAAATCGTACAATAGAAGTAATAGAAAATAAAGAGGGATGTATCCATTATTAAATAAGTATATACGTTTGATAAATAATTATTGTTACAATTTATGTTGATTATTATTTTCTTATTTTACATGTGCTATCATTTCGTTCTTAGAATAAAACAATCTTTTTTTGATACACACTCATAATATTTTTAATTATTTTCAACGAATCGCATATTCTGAGCTCATAATGTTTTGATATTATACATTACAGACGAAAAACTTTACACGCGTCATTGAGAAATTAAAGATAGCACATCTGGGCTATCTCTTTGACGAGGAGTGGTGGAATTCTGTAAAGAGATTGGAAAGCGATATCGAAATTTTGTTACAAAAAGTTGGCTCGGAAATACGGAGAAGTGCAAGAATAGTATTCGAAATACTTTTCTGCGGACTTACATTTTGCGGAAGCAATTTGTCATCTTCGGATATTTTCCTACAACGTGAACTAGGTCCTTATCTGCGGACTGTCTTTGGACTTAAATTTTGTATTCCGTTATCTGCAGATTTTTTATGAAAGACAGATGCGGATTGTCTGCAACACATTTCTGGGTCCAATTTTCTGTCAGTTTAAACGAAATTTTAAACGATGCGAGAGACAAAGCTGCGATTGAGGTGACCGTCGCGTCATGTGGACACCAGAGAGCACCGTTTCCCAGAAAGTTTGAAGGAATTCTTTCCCATACGCAAACGCAGAATAAATGATAAACTCACGATCTATCTCACTATGAAATTTTCGGATTTTTATACTATATGCTTATATAGTATATTATGTTTACATGCTACTTAACTGGGGAATTATGCTTCACGGACAGAACATAACAAAAAGTCTATGTGTAACTAACACATTTGTTAAAAGGCAGTATAGTGAGATCGGGCTAAAAATTCTTTTAGAATTAATCCTTTTAGAAACAAACATTTGACACTACTCTTAGTCCTCGCATTGCCAGTACGTGAAAACCGAACATCTAGATAATATTTTACATCTATATATACTCAATTTTGCAACTGCCTCTTAATGAGAATATATATATTTGTGTTCTGGTATGAATTCGATTTAACTTATTTTAAATCCTAACATTTAAGCCAGCAATCCGTACAACCTGGCTGAGCGTCCTCACACGACAGGATTTTAGCGCTCAAATCGTGTCAACTTTTATTAATCAATTACAAAGCCTGTACTAACATTTCCCCAATTTCGCATTAGGTTCGTTCACGAAGTTCTAACTCTTGCGTTTCGCTAACCTAGTATCAGGCTCATCCGTGCATGTTTTCCGTACATCTCTAAATATCTGGAGACCCTGATTTCGCATCGAGTTTATCCTTATAAACAGTAATCCTAGCGGCTTTTTGATCTCGTGCGAGGTCCGTTCCGCATATTTGCTAATATATTGAAACCGTATTTCATAAAATACTTCCGTACATTGCATTAAATACTTCCATAAAATACTAGCTTGTCGGCCTCTCGCACTGCTCAAAGTGCTCGTAACATATTATATATCTAATAATATCTTTTTTAATATCTAAAAACTAATAATACTAGCAAGTGTTTGTTTTGGGATATTGCGTGGACATATTGCATGTTGATATATATATTGTAAGTGTATGTGGCGGATCGGTATCAACAGGACACCGACAGGTCGAGACATCAACGCGGCGCAACACCTCCTGGGCGATCCGCGGGTACCAACCGCCAACACCAGAGGGCTACGACGACAACGAGTCTGTCTATCTCGCTAGCGGTCGAATATACGGGCGAATGATACAAATATCGCACCTATATACAACTATCGCACCATA